GTATACCCATTCGTCTTCTTATGGTTCCATGCATTGTGACACCTGACTGATTGCGTCTTCAACCAGAGAACGAGATTGTCGGCGAAGCCTTGGTTGCCCTACAACACGATGACCTGAAGTCTATGGGTATTGCCAGTGTTGGCCATCGCCTTACTATCCTGAAGAGCGTGTATGATGTGAAGAAGGCCCAGGATATACCAATAGAGAGCGACCATTATGTGCCGTTATGTAGGTGACGCCGCATTTTCTTGTGTAGAGACTATCCACTGACATGTGCTCTCCCAGCTGCCGATGCGGAGGCCCAGTACGCGACAGCAACCCTCAAGGATATTAAGCACTTGGTTGAGCAGCTCCGTCTACGAGACGAGAGGATGAGCATGGTAGAGAAGGACCTGCGTCGACTCTCCGAAGACTTCAGACGGCTGAGGGAAGACATGCTGCCTGCGTTACGCTTGGCAAAGGATTCGTCACAACCACTGCCCAACGTCTCCAACAACAGCAATCAGGGCTATGGCTATGAGACCGTATCGCCCCCCGCTCCAACGCCCTCTTCCACCCAGTCGATGAGCCTGCAACGGCAGTACTCCACCAAGAGAATCATGCTAGGAACAACGCCTAAAAACAACTCGCCGTCACACCTGCAAACAACGCACGAAAGGTCGATGGAACAAACGTTGGATCCCTCAAATGCTGCGGAACGAGCCGTATTATCTTCGTCGCATCTGGCAGCTATGAACGGTTCAGCAACGGCTACATCGCCCGGCTATCCTTCCCCGAACATGCCCTCGCCGACCTCCCCTCCAACACTTGGCGGCGCGACTTTGGGCTCTCGATCTTATCGCTCCGACCGCTCCGAAGCCCCGACGCCTTCTACACGATCCACCTTTGCCGAAAACGACCATGGTTACAAAGGCCGGGAACAGCAGACGGCGCCGAAACGCGGACCGACCCCAGCTCCCGATACACCAAGCACAAGTAACGCATCTGTCGAGATCTTCAAGTCTTTCCGAGTCAGTATGGACGATCCGTGCTACAAGGTGTTGCCCGCCGCCCTCAAAAAATACCAGATCAATGCACCCTGGGACCAATATGCCCTGTATATTGTCTACGGCGATCAGGAGCGGTGCTTAGGACTTGAGGAGAAACCTTTGATCCTATTCAAGCAGCTGGATAAGGAGGGCAAGAAGCCAATGTTCATGTTACGAAAGACGAATAACGCCCAAGTCGATGCGTCGTCAGAACAACCAGGGAGCGCCGGGCTCGGAGCCAGAGGCGCGACGACGGGCTATGATCCGCCAGGTGGTATCATTTAGGGGGTGATACCATTACTGATCATATTCGAAGCTTATCCTTCCTCAATTTGACTTATTTCCCGTCCGATTATTTGAGTGGACACCAGCCGCGTGTAGGATGCGGGGCTGGGAGCTCGACAGGACCAGAGCATACCGGAGTTGGGGTTCACCTGCATAGCGCTGCGCGGAAGAGAGACGACTGACTGCTTTGGAATACTGTTGCGGAAACAATGTGTGGGTTCGATTGGGCGGGGTTTTTCTCCACGGTGTTTCGTCTCGCAACTGTTCCTGGGCTGTCCAAACTCGAAACGTGGATCCGAGCAAGTATTGTATTTTTGTGTACGAGCTCTCAAGCCTCGACCGGACGAGACATCGGGCCATCAAATGCCGTCATGGAGCACCTTTTTTGTTTTTTCTCGAAGCTATCTGGAGTCTTGTGCTCTTGAGGATCTAGGGTCTATCCAACTGGGGCTTACGCTGGGTGTAAGCGGGGAGTAGAGCAAGGAGCTTGTTTGTCGTGTTGTATTGGGACAGGGTGTGTGGCCTGATGACACCTGGAGCGAACGTGTAACCAACACCTAGGGGAGTAGGAGGCAGGATATTTCTTGGGTTTGGGAGGGTGGCATCTGCTCTGTGTGATGCAAGAGGTCGCGGAAGCCATCAAAAAAAGGAGCTCTTTTTTATTCTTGACATCAATTTATTCACCACTTGATTCAGATCGTATTCGGTGCACATGGCACCGTGTTTCCTTTTTCTTTGTGCCTCCCGGCGCAAACACCGTTCAGCGACCACTGTCTACTTAGGCCTTGGACTTAGTAAATAAGGAGTGTGTTGACCTGATACGCTGACGAGGTCCGCACGATGAAAAGGTCTTTGCATGTTTCTTGCTGGGCGTTGCCATTTTTATTTTTATTTTATTTTTCGCCAAGAGAAGTGACGCACATGGACGATCTCATCAAGGATCAAAGATATGTTACTAGTTATACGGGAATCTACACGCACACTCGCGGCCCTTCTAGAAGCACGGAGGGTCCGTCCCGCAGCTCGCCCACCCCTCCTAGGATTTGTGAGGATGGGACGATTTCCGCGGTTCCAAGACCAGCCGAAGTCTGGTTCGGTGCCACGCTGTGTCGTAACTTGTAAGGGGGAGGGAGTGATTTGAAGGAATTGAGGTGAGGTGAGGTAGTGGGGGTGAGGGTGGGACGGACGATGAGGCTGGGTACCGGATGATGATGGATTGGACGTTGGAGAGGAGGTTGTTCGTGGGGGTTTTCTTGGAGAATTGGGAGGGAGGGGAAGGGGATGGAGGACTCCGTATCGTAGAAGCTCACTTCCATCCGTTCGTTGGCTCATTCTTCCTTGAGCTGGCAAGGCAAGCTGGCTGGTTTGCCGGTACCGGTTTTCTTGTGGTGGACGGACGGGTGAGGTTTGGGGTTGGATAGACCAGGATGTTGTGTATGTGGGGTGGTATTCGGGTGCGGCGGAGGGCCGGGTTCTAGATGTCTCAGTCTGGTGGGGGGTTTAAGTTCTTTTGTTGTCCTATGCTGGGTTTTGCTGTTCGTTTCCACACTTTCTTACACGCGCTTTTGCTCGGGGTTTTTTTTCTGTCATCTGGAGTTATCAGCTTCGGGGGATCGGGGTAAGTGGTGATGGAGAATGAGAAGTATGCGCGATGTATGGGTCGGTTAAGAGCAGGAGAGTGGATTTTGTGTCGCGTCTAGATGAGGCAAGACGACGACGGGGGGGGAAGAAGAGAAGTTCGTGTGGATGAGATGGAAGGGTAGGATGAGCAAGAACGAATTGAAAAATCAAGTCGATAAAGAGTAGAATGGTACGGAGTACTGGGTAGGTTTCCACTAATTGCACCCTGGGACTTTCTCGGACAATGTATTCGTACTGGCGTAGAAGGGGGGAAGAAAGGGACCCTGTTTCCGGTTCCTTATATTGCCCGTTTTGGGACGACGGGATGTTGGGGGCGGTTTCGGCGAGGAGGTTCCGGTGTGACCCCGGGACGGAGCGGAGGTCGGTTGGCGTTTTCCCCCGGCGGCGATTTATTCGTTCTTACTGAGGTGATGTCAATGGCGGCTAGCGCTTCAACCCTGGCTAGGTTCGGAAAGCTAAGGGGGTGTTTGAACGGTTCGTCTTCCTGGGATATTTAGGTGACAGTGTGTATGGTGTGGCTTGTTTGCGGGCGATGGTGCGGAAAGATAGGAGACCTTACCACCTTATCTGGATACGAGGTTCTGGAGGGTAAAGAGGTTACAGGTGAGTCGAAGGTGAAGGAGGTGAGTTCTCGTATCCGAAGGTATACAACGGACAAAGCTTGCACTGCCTTAGTTTAGCCGACCAGCCTTCCTCTGTCTCGATCTCAACTACATCTCTCGTGATAAGCGTGACGGGCAGAGAATAAGCCGGATTGATGGTAGTCCGAGAAAACTTGACAGAGCGCATCTCAATACTTTGACATTCTTTGGTTGAGAACCAAATTTGACGAAATGGTGGTTTGGCCAGACCGGGGGGCTTGCTGAGGTCGGCACGGTCGTCACTGCGAGCCGCAGGTCCGTATGTAGGTCGGTACGGTGCCGTCCGCTTAGGCTGGGCTGTCGCAGATAGACGGGACGTTGATTGTCCATCATGGTAGAAGAACAGGCTTTCCGCGGTTCTCTAGAAGCTTGGTTCAAGCTGCCCTTGGGTTCCGGTCACGACGATTCTTGGGTTCGGCTTTCGGGTGACTATCTCTCACGCACAACCTAGAAAGACTTTTTTTTTCTTTCTTTTTTTGAACAACCATACTTTCTCTGGCCCCCCACATGTTCGATTGATCTTCGCTTTTTGACGGGCGTTTGGTGTTTTGGGATGTGACTTGTGGCTGAATCGGGTCTGGGGAATGAGACGTCAAGTCGCAGGTTGAGTGGTCCTGGGACATGGAAGGAGTAGGGCCTCACCAAAACCCTTTTCACCAGGGTGAGAAAGTTTGCTTTGGTGGCTCATGAGTAAGGTAAGGTAAGTTAAGACTGAGATATCCATATGAGCTTGTGAATCTGCAAAAAGAAAAAAAAAAAAAAAAAAAAAAAAAACCCCGAATGATGGGCTGAATCGCGCGCATGAAGTTGGTTGAGAAGTGGTGGTTATACGTCTATAAGATCAGCATGAGATGTGCGTCCCGATGTGACTCGTCTGATGGTGCTGGATTTATGGATGGGATGGTTTAGTTGCCGAAGTATTGAATAACAGTCTTGGAGGGCCTGGTTCTGGACGTGGATGAGTCGTTCAGCTGGTTATATGTTGTTTCCTATACCTATATGTCGGATAGGTGCCGTCTCATGCCCGGGAAACCGGCGGGGGCCGTACGGATGTAGGGATCGTCAACAGAGCCGGATTGCCCATCTCGAAGTCGGCGGATGAGATTTTCGGCTGGACTCATATGTCACCCATCAAATTTCTGCCCAGCTCGCTGTTCAAGTATGCCTCCATTTCAAACTTCCTTTTCCCCAGCGAAACACCCCCTTGCATGTCCATCACCGACTTTCCCGTTTGGGCGAACTCGTCTACTCCATATATGGCCGGCAGGTTCCCCACCTGCGTCGTCAAAACTCCACGGTTTTTCTCGGATTCTTCGACGCGATTAGGGCTCCTCTTCCGCGAAAAGGGTTCCACAGCAATATAATTCCCTTCACCGCTGTATAACTCCATCAGCAGATACTAAATGCCCGAATGGCTCAGTGGTAAAGCGTCTCACTAGTACCTCGTTCTACTCCAGATCTCATGATCCGGGGTTGAAATGTGAACGCGATGAGAAGATCGGCGGTTCGATTCCGCCTTTGGGCAATCTGTTATCCTTTTGCTATGTTTGTATCTTTTGCTTCATAGTGATTGATCCGTGTTGGATGAAAGGGACAGAGATACGTGTGGACACAGTTCAGCTCAAATTGAACGATTGTGGTTGCGTCCCTTCTTTGGGATAACCTGTGGTACTAGCTACGTATACCGTGAGAAGGGCTGGAAGGAAACATTCAAGCAATCATTCGATGTAGTCGTTACGGTTACTACCGTGACCTGTTCGCTAGCACGAAGAGAAAGCATCCTCGTCCTCTCCGGAGAGAGGATTGCAACTCGACTGATGCACTGGCATCTGGGACCAGTGAGATCGAAAACACGATGGGAGACAGCCTTCTACGTATTTGGTTTCCTCTATTGCCATGAGAGGTCTGCAGTCTACAGCAATATCTTAGTCGCAGATTGCGCGCAGAGGGAAGCTTCATCCTTCATGTGGTAGCTGGGAAGATTATGAGTAAGGAAATATTACTTGCACTGACATCAGCTTGCCTGGACAAATGCTCGAGGGGTGGTTTCCGCATTAACAATTAACACGCGAAGAGAAAGATCAAAGTACTGGTTACATTAGTGGTGCATGAGGTACTGGAACTGAAGGACCTGGAGGCATGCACAATCCACATGATCAAGTGGCCGTCACCAAGAAGGAAAGTGCATCCCACCTCAAACTACGAAGGAAGTAAGTTGAAGAAGGTGGCAGCACGCGTATTGAATGTTGGAAGGAGGATCGATCATGGTGATTCTACCCCTTTCCTTTCTGGTCAAATTGTCCTAAGTTACCCAGTATCGAGAGTTGCTACTTGCTCCCTCTCAACTCATCCTGATGCTGCCTCTCATCTTTCCCACACCAGTCGTCCGCCTTTCGATTCCACCACAACACTATCGCCAGCCTCACTCTCCAATCTCAGTTGTGCAAGGCAGTCTGCTCTGAGTCTGTGGCGTCCCCTACCAATCAAGTCGTTTGAAGCGCTGTACGCGAGATATTTGTGCCGAACTTCTCTCGACGGAAATCGACCGAACGTCCAGAATTTGGCCACTCTCGAATGCGAGAGGACCTACTCTGACACATCGCCTGTTCTTCCCGAACTTACATTGCCATTTTGTAAGCGCTCCTCCATTTCGTTCCCCTGGAATCACCTCTCTATCCATGCTGACAATTTTGGACACCAGATGTCTCGCTGCCATACCGACTGAGCCTCCTCGCGAATCGCAATCAGGCAGAGCCATATCGAATGATAGAATATCCTCACCATAAACCGAAGCGAAGTATTACCCATCGTGAGCCATCAAATTCAGGTCAGCCCGTCAGGCCGGCCAAACGGTCTGCAATATTCCTTCAGAGCCAATGGCGCTGGCCATTCGTTCACATGGAGCCCCTCTACCTTCTCTGGATCTCAGAACCAGGTGGACCATCCGAAGTTGCCCCATGAAAAGCGTCGAAGGCTCAATGAGGTTCAGGTCAACGTTGAAGCGCTTGGAGTTGCCAAAATCCGTCTGGACGAGGATGTGATATTCGACTTCACGTCAAATCACAAGGAGGTAAAGAAGCAGCTTTCGAATGTCGAAGGTGAGCGAGATGACCTTCTACGGCGTCTTGATGAGACTAGAAAGGACCACGAGAAGGTTCTTTCAAATGTCAAATCTGAGCGAGACGAGTCCATACAAGAGCTAAAAGAGGCCAACGAAAATCTTGAAAAGGCCAAACAGGAACTGGAGAATGCGGAGGCAGAACTCGAACGATCTTCCAATGCTTCCTTCGACTTGAGTACCGAATTGTCTCCTTTGATAAGTACCATCAGATATCTACGAGACGACCACAAGGATCAGCTCAGCACTCTCAAGAAGGATCTTCAGGACTCTGAAGACAATCACCGGGCTGTCTCGGACTCATTGAAGACGCGCGAGAGGGAATTGAAGGCTTGCCGCGACGTTTATGCTAAGCTAGTTGACGGACTTCGTGAATCCAACACGAAATACATTAGCGAGAATAGTAGTCTGCGGACCAAGGCGTCAGAGCTCCAAGGTGTCTTGGACAAGCAGAGACAAAACACAATTATCGAACTATAGCGATATCAAGTCGAATCTGGAATCAAACAAAGCAACATCCAAACCTCAAGAGATTTTCGGTTTCTTAGACGTAATATGTTTCTACTTCTGGGGCTTCATGGTTATGGTCTGAGGCCAAGATCACGAAAGATTTGGGCACAGAGACACATCGTATTGTCAAGTCGCCATAACCATGAAAGATAGCGGTCTGAAGGGATTCCTGAGGACGACGAACAGTTGTGTAACTTACGTATTGCTATGGGAAATGGGGAGAACCTTGCTCAATTCGTGGCGCGACTTCATCTTCTAAGAGACGAAGGAACTACGGGAAAATCTCTTGGAGAAGCATTTTCACGCTAGAGAATCTTCATCATCAAGCAAATGTGTAGTTAGGGGAGTAAATACTGCAAGGCGATGGCATGGAGCTTTTTGTGAAGCTGCTTCTACCGGCAAGGCGAGGATGGGGAAGCATTTGGTTGAGCACCAACCTGTACTTTAGTTTTCAGCATCAGTCTCACTCTTCCTCCTAATCAATCATTTTAAACTCTATTTCCTTGAGACGAATGACATGCCTCGCAGGATAGTTCAACCTGGATCTCCCGAGCTACAATGTTCCCACAGTATCTTTTGAGGCAGTCTGGTAAATGAGACTTTGGGGGCCTTTTGAGATCCTGGGTGAGATAGCCTCAAAGAATGGCCAGTACTTCAGATAGCCCGTCCGCCCGTCGATCAGGCGTGAGTAGAATGTAGCGAGGCCTCTTGGATCCAACCGAGCCTTGAGACCGAGTTTCTTCCAATTTTAGGGTCTCGCCGACATTCATAATTATGTGGCGGAAGATCTCAATATGACATTAAGGAAACCGAGTGAAAGAGGATGGAAAGGGGCCACACCTCGTTGAAACAAGATTCAGTGAGGCAGGCCGCTCTCCTCTATCTACTCAAGTACTTGCTTCAACCACGGGACTGCGGACAAAAGTACGGTTTCCATAAGAAGCCCTTTATACCTGGAACCGCGATGCTTCGAGCTGTGACTTCATAGGTCACCAGGGACGCGTTATCGGAAGCTGATCTGGGGCCGATCTAGCCAACACTTCTCCTTTCGGCTCTTGAGAAAAGGGAAAGGCAGTATTGAGTAACCTACCGTGCAGAGTACACATATCCCCCCCCCCCCTCTTGGTATGTACCTACTTGTTGTGTATTCAGCGAAATCCATACCCAAGATAGCGTAGGAACGAGCTGTTCATCATTCCTCTCCGACACCTGGCCATGTCAAAAGCAAAGCTCCCCCCGTCTCTTCTTGGGCCGATTTCCCTTCAGGGGTTGCGTGGGTATATGATGCCCCAGGTTGGGAATAACGACCAACTGGCATAGTCCCAGCGAAGACCAAGTAAACACAGTAACAGAGAAAAGCAAATTATCACGCAGAATAATCCAGGGAACGGAATGGGTATTAGAATTTGTCATGATTGCAAACGGCCATTCCTATCGCGGCCCTCATGAAATCTTCCTATAGTACAAGCAAAATTGGCAGGGAAAACCCCCATCCCGCCAGTGCCATCCATGACCGCAATGCATGCAAAGTTCCGTTGTCGTGGTGTGTGAGAGAGTTGTCTTGATATACAGTTTCCGAAGCGCAAAACGCAAAAAAAAATCCGCCCGAGGAAATGGGGGAGAAGTAGGGGTTGATTGATGTGTGGTACAGTCGTTCAGCTTTTTTGGTGCGCGTAGATCCGGATTTCTTTCGATAAGCTAGCCTCGGTGTTTTCTTCCCGGCTTCGCTTTGGCATTGTCTTTTTTCTCCTTTCTTGATGGTGAGTATTCGAGAAAGTTGGTGATTTTACAGAGCGGGCTTGGCCTCGGAGCGGTCGAGGGCGATGCCGACTTGCTCAGCCGTGCTGCCCTCCTTGCCCTCGCCGGCGGCCAGGAGCGCGTCGCCGCCCATCTCACGCATGCGGTACTCGCGCTCCATGCCCTCGATCTGCTGGTCCTCAGCCCAGCAGGTAGCCAGGGGCACGCCAATCATGAGGGCGGTGGCGCAGACGACCCAGACGGTGCGGGAGCCGTAGTACCACGTGTTCTGGACGGCGCTGACGCCAAAGTCGACCTTGTTGCTGATCCAGCCGCGGGTGGTCGGGGGCACGATGTCCTTGAGGGCGTATAGGCGCTCGGTGAAGGACTCATCGCGGGGGTTGTAGTCGCTGTCCTCAGAGATCTCGGAGTCTTGAGTGGGTTTGGGTCAGCTTGGGGTTTTCCTGTGACGTATGCGACACAAGGGGGAGAGCTTTGCGATGAAGTCATCCTCAAACGCTCATCCACGTGTTTGATGCCTAACGGTAGTAAGGGATGCATACCAGTATCAGAGTAATCGGCGTCATCGTCGATGGGGCCGGCCTGGCCGGACTGGAAGTGCTCGTCCTCGACCTCGGTAAGTTGAACCATTGTAGCTGTAGTTTAAGAGCGGCGCTCCTTTTTGTTCAGGTGTGTATCGGCTGCGCGGTGCGCGTTCGCAATGATCTCGATGAGACGGTTGCGTATGTAGCCCGGGGGCGTGTGAAGTCAAAGACTGAAGGCGACCGGGTAATCGACGTAGAATCCGAGCTTCTGGAGCTGTTGTAGATTCGCTAGCTGTTGATGGCCGACACGGAATGACTTTTTCCAACCAAAGATGGAGAGATGGCGCTGGATCTCGCAGGCGAATTCGTTGGCGAGAAAATGACCTTGGTCGTCGAAAAGGGAGGAGGAGAAGTCGTTGTTGGGATGGGGTCGAACTTGGTGTTGAGCTAGGGGATGTTCAGCAACAGCTGGGCCAGAGGTAGCAGTTGCTGGACCCATCATGAGAATTTTTGGTGGCTAGCGTGATTGGTGTTGGTCCGAGCGTTGGAAGCTCGGAAAAGAGTTCTGCCGAATAATGACGTTGGTTTTGAAAGGTGACGGAGTGCACAGACTGGGCAGCTCTTGATTCACCCCTTGCCTTCCATTCTTGCCTGACACCGTCACCCTGGCTCTCGCCATATGACTTCTTCGTGTGCGAATACGTCCGAATGCGATAGGAGAGGACAATGAAAACCGTGCGATTAGATGAACTTGCTCTTAGCTAGGTAGTCTTGTGAATCTTTGACCATTGTAAGAAAGTTGGGAAGGAAGAAGGACCTTTATCGCCCAGAAACTTCCCCAGCTCTTTGACCATGGATAGTCGTGAAGAGCCACGTTCATAAACGTTCAATTATTCGTGAACGCTTTTTTATATCGCTTCTAAGCAAGAAGGAAGGGGGAGCATACTAAGTAAGTATGGGAAATTGTCCATCTAATTGCAACCTTCCTCGCCTACAGATGATCATCTTCAAGGTTTTGAAGTAGGATAGTGTGACTCACTGAGTGCTTGTGAACACATTCAATCTTATAAAAAGAGGTTGAAATGCCTTGATCATAAAATTCGTGATTCTATATGCCCAAACACTAATACATGGTATATCCATCCAGGAAAAACCCCCCCTGACGCCGAAAAAATGTGAAAAGACATGCCATGTCAGCCCTGTAGGCCACTCGGTACATGGCGGATGCCAACCGAATGTCTGAATCCCTTCAAACGCCGAAATATGCCACAGGCATCGGTAGAATGAAGAGGGGGGTCGATGCCCTCCAAACATCTGATGAGACTACAGTATCTCCTTTAAAAATGCACACTCCTCTTCTTAGCGACCTTTCGCTTCTTCTCCTCTTCCTCGGACCGGTCCCGATGGAAGAAGTTGCTGACGCTAGCAGCCGGGTTCGCGTAGGGTCCCTGAAGCAGTCCGGACATGAGGTTCGGAAGCTTCCCGCGACCGGCCTGCTGCGACTGTGACTGTTGCTGCTGCGGCTGAGACGACGCACCACCACTCATCGTCGGCTGCGGCTGCGCAAATCGCACCTGTGGACGATACGCGCTGGTTCCCGGGGGCCCATTGTACGGTCCCGCGCTGTTCGGCCGCGGTGGCTGCGCCGGTGCCACGTGCCACGAGCCCGGCGTGCTTCCGGGCGGCGGCTGATGACGCGGTGGTAAGTTCGGGTTCGACTGACTAGGCGGGACGCCGTAGAGCCTGCGAAGTCGCTCCGTCTCGGCCTCGATCTCGGCTTCTTTGCGTCGGCGGTCGGCTTCCTCCTTATCGAGCATCTTCTTGATGCGCTTCGCTTCCTCGGCGTCCCGTCGCTCGCGCTCGCGCGCCTGCCGCTCTTCCTGTGCTACCATGGCCTGAAGGCGCTTCGTCTCGTTGTCAATCTCCCACTGTTGGCGGGCATTGGGCCTGGGAGGACCGTTGTTCATAGCTTGTGCGGGGGGCGAGGCGGGCTTATTGCCGATGGCGCCTGACATAGCAGCCGCGGGTGGTGCCGGCGCCATGGTTACCGGAGGTGGCTTGGAGTTCTTGCGACGACCGGTCGTGGGGGGCGGCGTCGCCGTCAGGTTGAAGACGTTTTGTCTGGGGTTCAGAAACAGGTCGCGGAGAACCTCGGCGCCGAGCAGCAGGACAATGTCCAGTCCCTTGCGGTCCTCCACGTCCACACGCTGCAGGTTGGGCTCGTAAATCGTTACGGCGCTCTCGTGCTTTGTGTCCTTGAACATGGCGACCGTGATATCAGGCTCTTTGCTCTTCTTGCCAGCGACACTCTTGCCGACCATGTAGCACGTCATATCCTTGCTCAGTCTGCCATCTCGCTTCCAGCGGAACACGACCTTGGGGACGGTATCGCTGATAGGCGGATCATCGGAGGAACGATCGAGCAGGCTCGCACTCGGCGCGCGGAAGCTTTGCTCAGGCATCTCAAACTCCCAGCTGTCGGACTTGCCCCAGCTACCGGACTTCATCTTGATGACGACCTGTGAGTCCGGGTTGTAGAGCTGGAGCGTAACCTGGTCGGGCAAGATGGGCTGTGGCGGGGCCGGGGTACCATTTTGGACGCGGACTTCGGCGGCTGAGAGTGTCGGCTGAGTCCATTCCGGCTCGACGAGGACCTCGGCGTAGATGATCTGCTGGGAAGCAATGTCGGTGAGGGCAGCGGCGTACTTATTGCGGGCGACCGGGTTGGCGGGGTCAGCACGCTTGAGGACGTAATTTGGCACCGGGTCGGAACCCTGGTGAGTGAAGTAGAGAATGGTGTTCTGAGGGTTATCGGAGGAGGGGCGGAAGTGGAAGGTGGGTAGGTTCTCGTCGAGCATGTTGGGCGGCGGTCGACGGCTGTATTAGCGATCGACGGGCTCGCTCGAAGAAAGAAGTTGAGGTGAGTTTATTGAAGGTCTTGGTGTTGAGGTAGAGAAGTGACGTTTCCTGCGCCGCTGGGAGGTGTTTCGGAGGAGGGGAAGGGGACACAGCGTGGATAAAAAGGGTCAGGCTGGCAAGGCAAGTGTGCTGGGCCTCAAGGGTGTGCGAGGTCAAGTGGGCTGAGTCTTGAATCCGTCCGTCACCCGTCCGCCTTGGCTTTTTGTTTTATTTTGCGTGTTCTGGGATCCAAAGACAAGGGATAGGTCACTACTCCATAGTATACCCAGTCCTATACGCAGACGTTCGAATCTATCCGCGGGATCTAAGGTATGCAGTAAAGAGCCCCCACTGCCTTACGTAGGGAAGCGAAAGACCCAAAAGGGTTCTGTCGAAGAAGAGAGATAAAATGACAATAGAAGCTATCGTAAGCTTGATCAGACGAGGTACAGAAAAGTCAAAATGATTGCAAGGCAAGTATGTACAAGAACAGGGCACCCCGCTGTGGGAAAAGGTTGAAGCCTGATTTGGTAAAAGTGACCGGTTCGTGTCGTGAAGATTGGAAGCGTGGGGTGGGAAAGAAGCTGTGCTACCGCAGCGAACTTGCAGCAGGAGGGATTTGGGAGAAAGATGGAAGCCTGGCACATGCACCCACTTAGAAGTCCCATTAGCTGAGTGTACCAAGTACCAACAACCTACCTAGTGGCACGCATTGCACAGTGGCAGATGCAGGTCATAGCAGCGGGAACAGGATGTGCTTCGTACTCCCTCCGCAGTATGTCAACAGCTGCCCCGCCAGCCCCTCAGATTGGACGCAAGCCACGGGCTCAGACCCCACATTCATCCCGCTCCGCCACACCACATTACTTCCCGGTCTCTAAACGGCTCGAGGAGCGTTGACAAAAAAAAAAAAGCGTGCAAAGTCAGCCCGCCGATTCGTCAGCTCGCCAAAGACGGGTACGTAGCGTGCGGCTGTGCAGAGGCTTCCCATTCCGAGGGACGGTGCAACGGTTTCTTTGCCATTGGAAACCGTGCCGTTTCCCTTTCCGAAAACGCGCGGCCCAATGGTGGGAACCTGTCAAAAGGTTCTCTCTTTGAGGTTCTTATTTTGGCAACTTTTTGCAGTGAAAACTTGACGGAGGCGCGAGTGATTCGCCTGTTTCGCTTATTTGATCGACGTGCTTTAATTTTCTCCCTTTTCCCCCTTACCAGCTACAGCAACGCCGGGACCTCGCTTAGTATACAGCTTAAAGGAACTAGATTCGGGCTGCGCTTGAACGTGCTTCGTAAGCTTTCCGTGTAAGTCTCGTGAAGTGTGCCTTGGCGTCCCACAGATTGCGGTTTTTTGCCATGTTACTTGATTCTTCTTATATACATGGGGATCAAATCCTTCTCAAAATTTTCACGATTCTCGACAAGGCGAGAGAATCGAGGGACCTGCGAATCAAAAATGTCTAGGAGGCCAGCCTACCTTACCTACCTGCACGTGGTTAGGAACGCAGCCACACACGATGGCGAAAACGCTTCATCATCACCCCGTGCCGGCCACCTCTTGGCTTTTTTCTTCCCCAGTAATTCATTCGCTTCATTGCAACGCTGCGGGAAACCCCCCCAAGCCAATCGAGAGAATCTCTTTCCACTCAGTACCTAGCATGGATGATATTATACACAGGGATATCGATCATGATAGTACAATTCCTCCTCAACCCGTGGGCTTGCAGCTGAACCTGGCAAACGCGTGTAACCCGCCTATGCAACGGGGATGGGGTGCCTGACGATCTGAAAGACCGGTGAAGAGGGACATCCGTCCCGAAATCCTTTCCCACAGAGAATCAACCTCATCACGTACTCACATTTCATAAGGGCTCCTTACGTACCTATCAATCAATCGATCAATCAGACCAGCAGTATTGTCAAGTCGTGTGCATTGTTTCACTTTTGGATTACATCCTACCTCCCACTACCCACCACTCACTATACTACAACATACACCATCACCATAAGTCTTGGCACTCCAGCCTCAACACTCCCCCTTCCACCAAGACACATCTCTCCATCAAAGCTTACTGTACAAGGAGGAAAAAGGGATGAGAAAGTAGAACACGCGCTGTGTGAATGATGTCTAACTCCGCAGAGCCACCCAAGCGCCAGGCTTGAAGAAGGAAGCATTTGCAGAAGTCGTATGGGTACATATTGTTCGGTTGTGTTTGTGCGTGTGTGAAAAAGTATTGTTTGTACAAAGCGATCGCCTCTCGGCTCCCGTCTCTTTCTCGCTCTCACTCTCTCTCTCTCGCTCTCTCTCTCTCTCTCTCTGTGTGTCAAGTGTGTGTATGTGATATGACCTTTTGGTATTACAACCCGCTCCAAGCCTCCCCCACTGCCTTTCCTCTCCCCTTCTTCCCTTCCACCTTGTTTGACTCCTGGTAATCCGCGCCATGCTTGGGTATGAAAACAAAGAAAAGTTGCCTTGTATGTGTTGTGTCCGGGTCACGTCTGTTGGGCGAGCTACTACGCGTTCGGCCCCAAATCCGGCCGCCGGGGTACCTCCCCGTCCGGCATCATCATGGTAAACTGGGGTTCAGGCGGCATGCCGTTTTGGCCTGTCCCGGCCGGTAGACCCGGCACGGGCGGGATGTCTTCATCCGTCTCCGGCCTTGCTTGTGCTCTCTTGACGCGACCGGTCTGCTGGTTGACCCAGCTGTCGACCGTCCTGAACCTCGCTGGAAGGTCCTCGCTGGCCTCTGTGTAGACCGTTTCGCGGTTCGTCTTGCTCATCCACGAAAAGCGACCGACGCCGTTCTGACTGGCTCTCAGTGACTGTGACACTGGGGGAGGCGGCTGGAGCACCATGCCAGGCATTCCGGGTACAATAATGTCACCGTCGCCAAAGCCAGAAGAGATGGACGAAAGCTCGCTGGCCCGGTTAACTTGACGTCGAGCCGGGTCATAGGCATCTGAGGGCTGGCGGGCGAGCTCAGACTGGTTGAAGTACGCACCGGCACCCACGCCTGACCTTAACGTCAGGTTAGGGTCCGTTGGGCTGCCGTACTGTCCGATAATGTGAGTAAGGGACCCACTGGGCGCGTGGCTGATGTAAGTCCCGGTTTGGCTGTCATACGTGCCAACTTGGCTCGTGTAAGCGCTCTGTTGATTGCTGAACGGATTTTGTTGACTGTTGTATGTGCCTTGCCCGCTGACATTGTTCATCCTCATTGGGATGGTGCCTGTAGGACTCTGGTGAATGGGGCTGCCGCGATTATCAGCTGGCGACATGGTGTAGTTGGCAGGATATGTGCCGTTGGTAACGTAGGGGGCGGGTTTGCCATCGGGACCATAGAACCCCGTGTCCAGGCGTAGTGTTCCTCGCTGTCCCTTCTCGTACTGAGGTGGTTCGCTTCGTCGTCCATCGAGATTCTCCCATCCACCAGATCCCTTGAAGAATGGAATCTTCGAGCCAATGCCACCTGGCGTGTCGCCTTGGTAGCCAGACTCCCTTTCTCTTCTCATACGTCCCGCCCTCTTCATCGTCCTCCACACAATCCACACAAGGAATGACGCAAAGATGAATGATCCTGCATGATGTCAGTTTCTGTGTGAGGGCCTACTCCAGTTTCTTATGCTTACCTATTGAGCCAACAGCAATGAGCGCATGCTCTGTCTCGGGGTTCATTCTTGGCGGTCTGCCGTCATCCTTGCTGGAACCACCACTGGCCAAGCCTGGCAACGCTGAAATGGTCTCGGCTGGGAGTACTGCCGAAGCGAGAGTGGCTGTGATGGTAGGCGTAGAGTGCTTCTCTCCATCGATACCTTTCCTGGGGGCGGAGGGATCAACCGATGGCAAAGGAGGCAGGGCGAGAGGCCCACTGGGCGCGATGACGGCGGGCGGTACTGTAGGGGTGGGAGTAATTACTGGGGGAGGCGGTGGTGACGGAGTGAACTTGGGCTTCTTGGGCTATTCCAAATTAGTTACGTTCAACAATGCTTACTTGACTCAAAGAACTTACCGAATCCGGTTGTTTCATGGTTGAGATCAGGGTGACAGTTCGAGGAGGAGCCGTGACGGTCATGGTAGCTGGCGGCGCTGCTGGAGGTTCGGGTTCAGGCGGAGGTGGTGGTGGTGGGTCAGGCTCAGCCGGAGCGAGGACTGGTGGTGGTGCGGGCTCTTCAGGTGGTGGCGGCGGCGGGCTGGGAGGACGCTCAGGTGCCTCGACGGGTATCTCGGGGTGAGCGATGAAAGTCTCTTGAGGTTGTGCGTAAGTTTCTTGGGGTTGTTCGACATAGACTGGAACCTGTACAGCTGGGGGTTTCGATGTGGCGGCGGGTGTCGTTCTCACGGGGGTCGGTTGCACAGCCGGTGCGGCAACGACCGCCGGAGGAGGACGAATCGATGCGGGCGGCGGACGGAGAGTTGCCAAAGGCAACTTTCCTGATGCTACATTGTTGGAAGGCCTCACAGCTTTTGGAGTGTCCGGGCTTGAAGGAGGTTGCTGTTGTTGTTGGGGAGGAGGGTTCTTGAGTTGATTTTTCCGCGCCTTGTCATCGCTGTCGCTGTCTGAGCGACGGTCTACTGCCGAATCCGCATACCTGCGTCCGGCATCGACCGCCCGTTTCCATACGCCTCCTGCGGCGTTCCTCACTTGGTTGGCGTACTCATCGTCAGACTCGGCATCGCGATCCCAAAGCAGAGGCGGTACGGCGATGTTGGCGGGTGGTGCTCGTCTCTTGGAGGGCTTCTGGGCCCGTGGCACTGCGTGAGGAGCCATTCCCTTCTCTCCTGTCATCCTATCCTATCCTATCCGTTCCGGACCGATGATAGTCGCCAAGGTTTTCCTCTTGTCAATCACTTCCGACCATGGCCCTTGGTTGATACTATTCGAGGTCGAGCTGTAACCGGTTGAATCGGGGTTGGAAGAATAATCGTTCGATTGTTGCGAAGAGCGGATGAGAAGACAGAAGAATACAAACACGAATGAATAGACGTCAGTGCCAGCAAAGGGGTCTAAAGAAAAGAATTGAAATGAAAAAATAAGGCCGGCCTTGGTATGGAAGAATGGAAAAAAGTGGTGAACACCATACAACTGGCGGAGATGTCAGTCACCAGAGGGAGAAGAGGGAGAAGGGAGGGAAGAAGAGAAGCCAGCCGAGCGAGAGGCGACAGTATGTATCAGATTGGGTCGATCATCTATCCATCATTCGCGGGGAGACCCATGCTGCATGACAGATGCCCCCCCCGAGATGCTTCAGGGATAGATCCAGACGCCCACGACACCCCATGCGGGCACCAGCACTGACTAGGACTGGCGCAGGAACTGGCACGCGAAAGCCGATGGGTGCGGCGCACTAGTGGGTGGTCCGTGGATCGAGCTGTCGTTGAGCATGTCAGCGGTCAGTCGCGCGGGTTTGACTTTTTTGTCATGCCAGTGCCAGTGCCAGAGGGACAGACAAGACGACTTCAGACTCTTGTTGGGCTAGCACTGCTACTGTGTAGGTGATAGAACGTCAGGCCGGCAGCATTGGTCATGGCCACAGGTATTGTCGCAGTATATTGGCTGCGTACGTTGCTGATGATGATGATGATGATGATGATGATGATGCTACTGCGTACCATTGCTGATGCCGTCTTCTTCGTCCCTTTCTCTGAATATCCGAACGTCAAGCACAGGCGTTCTGCTTGGACTGACGTGCAGGGCCGAACACGATTGCGTCGCATCAGCAGCATCAGCGGCATCAGCAATAGGTCCAGCCACCGCCGACTTTCCGAGTACAGACCACCTTGGACAAGTACCCGTACAGAGCAGAAGATTCGCATCGAGAGTCTGTCCAAAGACAGGTGCGGCAACCCGGCGAAGGCGAACGAGGTCGAGGAAGGTCCACCCCTCTCCCAACTCTCAGCGTACGGCTACTGCGTACGCAGAATGGAGCATGGTCTGGTCTCTTCTTCCCGTATCCATTCCCCTGGCGTCTGGTCCGTACGAATGCCCCGTACTGTACACCAGACTCAGACTCAGACTCAGACCTGGTGGCCAGTCCAGTATCCATTCGTGTGTGTCCATAGATAACAGGGACCCCGGCCGGCAACAGGCACGCAAGGCATGGATGGTGGAAGATGTCTGGAATGGATTGTTCGCCCATCGAGTCGATCCAGTGGGCAGAGAGAGCAGACGAGATGCGCCGAAGCTTGTTAGGTGTCAATCATTGCCAGAGCAGGCCATTGATGCTCCGGCGGTAGGAGAAGTTGGGTCGCGGGGGGGGTTTGAAGCCTGAAGGAGTACACGGACGCTCTTCCAGGGGACGGTAGGAGAAGTCTAGAGACGAGACTTGAGATGGGTTGAGGGACCAGCTTCATCGGTACGTCTCGTCGTCTCTGCTTCATCCTCAACAGCGGTGGGTAAGAAACTGGCCGTCGGCGAACGAGAGTCGAGAGAAGTTGGTCAAGGTGTGGGCATCAAGGGGAGAGAAGAACAGGGATGACACACCCCTACAGTAGTGTCTGCAGCATGACCGTGGTGAAGATCGTAGCCGGGGTCTACTGTGTAGTGAAGGGCATGCATCCAAGTTGGTAAAGTAAGGTAAGGTACGGAGTAGTGTACTGTGAGTGTGAGTGTGAGCCTGTGAGGTGCAGGCTGCAGCAATTGGAAGAAGATGCGTGTGTGAGGTGTTGTAGACGTGAGACAGCTGCAGAAAGGTCGACCAGTCCGCTGTCGAAGCTGCAGTTTCGAAGAGCCGAATTGGGACGGTTCTGGAATGTCGAGTCGCTACCATCCCACGGCGAGACACATGCGGGGGATCTGTTAGCACGAGACGTATCGTCCGGTCGGGTCCCGGCATTTGAGGGGGTCTATTGAGACCTTTTGGGGGGCCCTTGGGGGGGGCAGTTGGGAGGGGGGCAACAGAGCGCGCTGAAGGTCTGCGAGTTCTACGAAAATCTGCGACGACACTTGCAGGGGACCATGCGTCTCAGCGTGGGAAAGAGCGGGTTTCAGGACAAGGGAGGGCCCGGTGCGGACCGGGAAAGCCTTCAGGGAGTCTTTCTCCCGAGTTTCCCCCCCTTCCCCTCCCCTTCCAGGCCCCCCCCCTCCCCTTCTCTAGACTCTCTCCCCTTCCCTTCTTCCCCGTTTTTGATCCAAGGCTGGGCAAGACTAGCAGACTGGTCGAACCTTTCAGGCCTAGCCTCCCTCACTGGGTCACTCAATCAAGATGGTGGCTGGCACTGGCTCGCGGGAGAGTGCCCGGCGCACTGATGTGTAACATCCAAACGGCGCTGAAGCGGGATGGATCATTTTCATCAATGACGGATGCCATAATTGTGCTTAGCCCACCGCGCCGGCCGACGAATGACAGGCTCTAGAGCGGAAAATCCGAACCAGAGCCAACGGGCGACGGGGCTTTGATTCTTCGAGCCCGGATTCCTCGCACTGCGCTGGTTGATATATACGCTGCTTGTTTTGGCCGTCCGGGCTCCGAGTCTAGAAGTACGACGATGCAATCTGTATCCACATTCCACACACCAATGTCCCAGGAAAGCCCACTTACATACATTCGAGCTAACCAGGGCTCCGCGGGGGGGTTAATGGTGAGGGCCGGCCGGCGAGAAGGAGGCAGACGCAGAGGCAGAATGGAGTATGGACAAACACCACCTTGTTGTTGTTGTCGTTCCATCATCATCAGCATCACTCGTTTCTGGCCCAGGAAAGTAGTTCTGGAGCTCAAACTGAAATGGCCGTCTTTTCCGAATTTGCCGTCTTGCCGAAAGCTGGGTTCGACAGTTTGCATCATCGTCAAAAGTCACGTTTGAAAGACTTTACCTCATTCCCTCAGCCCCCTTCTTGAGCCTATCCCCCTCCCTCCCCTTCAGACCAGAGAGTGACGGAAGTCTACTGACCAAGAACCCTGTGGAAAGCAAACCCTGAGACTCAGCCGTTGAACCGCGCGATCATCATCCGGAAGTGGCGTTCACCTCGCACAAGCTTCGCCCAGGATCATCGATGAGGCTCTACCTACCTACTTCGTGCCGGTGGTTCATGCTTTGCCCAAGTACCTAGCTGCATGGAAAGAGAGGGACTGCCACAATACGGGAAAAATGACCCAATAGTTAACTCTACTACTGCTATATCAGCTTGGGCCCCCCCTGGTCGTTCCCTCACCTGCCAGATCTGGCTAACGGAAACGCATTTCTCTGGGCAAAACGCCCAGCGAACTAGTCTCGGCTTCTTTACCAATGAAATCTGTAAGGGGGTGGAATAAACGAAAAGCTATTGAACAAGCCAACTCTTTTGCAGAAACCAAAGAGCCTCATAAAACCATCATATTGGTAATTTCGCCCACCTCTATCAGTTTACTTTCAACATTCCTCCTCTCACCGTGAGGTTATTCCTCTACGAGTCAATAAACTACCTGCGTAAGGTTGCCGCTCGCCTCGTTCCGTTCGTTCGTGCTGCCCCTGGGCAGGAAAGAGTAAGGTAATTAACTAGCGTGCAACTCTGTTAGTGACTCGCCGCTCTGTTTTTTTTCTGCCCCAATTCAATATTTCCCCCTCACCAAGCCGGGCACTTTGCTATTGGTCTCGGAGCCATGCTATAGCCTCATCTCACGGCCGCACGGTCGAACCCTCGAAACCTGAACTTCCCTTCCCCTCGTCACACACACACCTACACACCATCACACCTCTTTACATCCCGTTGTGCTGCGCCCTTTTTTGCCGTAACGAGCCGGTTCCCACCTGTCTCCAGGACCCCTCGTTGCCCCGTGTTGATGCTTGCTGCTTTGCCTCGAAAGTCTTTTCATCTCAACCTTTTTGTCTCTACCTCTTTTCTTTACTTACTTCGTACCTTGCCGACCTGCCCAAATCTGCAACAACCTTCGCAAGACTTGTCGCAGAAAAATCCAACGGCGCAATTAAGCTCCCATCTTGGCATCTGGAAACTTGTCTACCGGGGGGCGGATCTGAGCCAAAAATCACACCTCGTCGTCGTCGTCGTCGTCGTCGTTGTTCTGCCTTTCGGCTCTGCTGAGCCTGCTGATTGGATCTTTACGAGGAGGGGGGGAAGGGTATCGAAAAGAAGCTTGATTGTACGAGGTTTCTTGGCCATCATTAGCCGCTAGTTATCTTCAAAGATTCAAAGTTCCGTTCAACGCGAGCCTCTCGGCTTGTATCAAAAAATTGAGGCTTCCAGCTTCGTCTCTGATCAACGCATTTCAGGAATAAAAAAAAATAATAAAAAAAAAGCTAGCTCCCGTGACTCTGCTACGAAGAAATTGTACGATGTTCTTGAGGCGCTTGAGCCTCATATCATTCGTATACCTGAAAAAGATACGCCCTCTCGCCAGAAAGGCCTACGCCGCATGCATACGAGAGAAGCCCAAGGCGGAGGCTTGGCAACATCTAATCATATCAGTACGACAACCGTGCTCTGCTTCACAAGTCAAAAGCTGCGGGAAACCTTCTTCTACCAAGGCTACCAAGGCTTCCCTCACAATAAATTGAAATTAATATACTCGGACTCTTTGCCCAGAGAATTTGTCGAAGAATCAAAACAGATTTCGTTCCTGGGCAATGGAAAAAAGGGCCATGCTATGGTACAAGTTACTGGGATTCAACATTCGCTTGACAAATCCTCCGCGGCTTGGCTACCATGATGTCTTGCCTGCCAAGCTTCACACGATCTTCTTACCAAGAACTCGGGTGTGCTGCCGGCGCCTTACGATGGATGCATGGATGCACCCGCCCGAGGCTCTCAGCTTGGCTTCCTCCCCCCCCCCCCCC